AGGCGAGTTAAGCCAGCCCTGCCGGGCTGGGTACAGGGTGTTAGGGAAGGCCGAAATGCTTGTGTAAACTGCTCTCAGGGTTGTGTCTGGATTATTTATGCCCCTCTATTGTCTTCCTGTTACTTGGTGGCCTAAGGTAGTGAATAATCTAGAAAGTCTCAAAGCTCTGAAACCACACAAACCAGGCTCTGAAAAATAAGCCTGGGCTACCTCAGAGAGAACACATCAGGTCTCCATCCCAAGACCACTCACCACTGTTTTAAAGCATTCGCTTTTCCTGCAATTTCATTTCATTCAGAAATGGCTTATTCCTCTACAGTTGCAGCCAGCGCTGCCCACCCCTGGGCTCCCCGGAACAGCACCTCAGGGACACTGTGGGATGCAGGCTCACCAGCCTCAGCCAAGGCAAACTCCACCTGTCCTCCCTTGGGCAGAGGGCACCTGGCAAGGGAGGGTGTTCTTCCCGCGGGCAGTGCTGGAGCGAGAGGGGAGGAAACCAGGAGAAAGAGGCTGCATGAGGAAGACGGGGCGTGATGAAGTCGGGCAGGAGGGCATCATACAGAGAAAACCCTCCAGAATCCAGACAAGCCTGGACAACTGGTCCAACCCACCACTTTCCAGAAGGCTCTGTGAAAACCAGGGATGTTCGGAGTTACTGAGACCCTAACTTCTGAGCCCGCCTTGCTCTGGCTCGGTGGGAGGAGAGGGGCAGCTCCACCAGCGCAGTGAAGTTTACTCAAATCCTAACAGCTACATGCTCAGCAAGCTTCCTTCTCAACACAAACCCAGCTGTTATCTTTGATTTCTCCATCCTGACTACCAAGTCTTCCAGCAGAAATAGGTACAAATAAATTTAATCAAGTGTTCAACCAAATTACCTAGAAGTCGATACATTAGATGCCCAACCCTTCTCGCAGCATCTAAAATAAATACACCTTTTACAAACATGCTTATGGAGACCTCAGATAGTTCTAGAACAGATGGGCCTAAAGGGCCCCCAGAAGTAAGTGGGTCCCAGCCATACACAGGCTCACCCACAGGGAGGGCGGCCGTGGGCACCCACACCCACAAGCTGCTAACCAGCCACTCAGGCCGCTGGGATGGCAGGAATTAGATGCTGACACAGTGAAAGGCACTCAGGGGCTCTGACAACAGACATGAAACCACATGCACAGCAGTCACCGCAAACACCTATCCATCTTCACCGCCGGGCACAAATCTGCACCACCCCAAGGGGGGCCCAGGGGCCATCACTTGTGTTTTATCAGTGAGAGCAGAGCCTTCCCCATCACCAGCCAAGTCCGGCCCTAGCTCTTCTTGGCCCCTTAGGGAGGTTGCTTGGCACCTTGGGATGTGGAGGGAGAGCCACCTTCCTGGAGGGGCAACATGGAAGTGCCCATGCCGAGTCCTCATGCCCCATCCCAAATGCCTGCTACAGTTTATATCCACGTATACACTCCCCAGGGCACACACACCGACGGCCACTGCAGTGAGGCTGAGAAAATGCCCGTTAGCCTTAGTGTAGTGGATGCCACTGATGGTGACGGAGACAGGGCAAGAGCAGAGCACGGCAAGGACACCTTCATTGTCTTGGGCAGTGCCTGGCTCCTGCCCAGGGGGTGACTGAATGCAAGGAGGAGGCAGAGGCGTGTGGAGGGAAACTACTCCCAAGGCAGAGTCCTAGACGAGAACCATCTAAACCACACAATTTCTCTGTGGGCCCCCAACATTTTCTGCTGAGCTGCTGGGGAGTGTTGACTGTGTGGAAGCCATGAGAGATCCTCTTATATTACAGGCATCCTCTTCAAGTGCCCTGGGAAGGGTGGCATCTAGCACCCGGTAAGATCAGGGCTCCCCACTCAGCACTGCTGACATTTGGGGTCAGATCATTTTCTGTGGGGCTGCCCTCTGCATTGCAAGATGTTGAGAGCATCCCCGTAGCAACTCCCTGGCTTGAGTTGCCCAAATCGTCAAATGTCCCCTAAAGGGCAAATCACCGCTGGTGGGGGACACGAGCGGAAATGAATCTGATTGCTCTCCCGCTGCTGCAGGAAGGGAACTGGCATTCCTAAGTGGGTAATTGGGAGGCAGGAAGCCTGGTGAGGAAGCACCTTCCTGGGCCAAAGGACCGGATGTGAGATTTCTGAGTCCAGGAGAGAAGTCAAGGTGCTTCCTCACCCTCTCCCTTTCCTCTCTTGACTATAAATTAGGCTAATGGTCCTAGTCATGAAATGGAGCTACAGTCTGGGCCTGAATTGTCGTGGTCCCTGTGTAAAAACTCCATCTTGAGCTTATGAAACATTGAACAGAGCCCATTGCTAAGCTGCACAGTATCCACATTCCCATTTTATTGGGAAAGAAAATTCAAGCCTTGGGAAGCCTTGGAAGCTCCCAGGGGCAAAACTTTCAAGCGTTTATTAACAAAACTAGACACAGACGGTGATCAAGACCTCTGCAGACACGATCTTCGCTACTGATTACCTTCACTTGCCAGGCAGCGTGTGGCCCTGAAGGAACCTCTGAAAGTCATTTCATTGCTTTCTTGATTTCGAGAACAGGAGGCCCTGCTACCCATGGGGACCCGCTTCCAAATGAAACAGAACACACATCCCAAGTAAAACCACACTTGCATTTTTTTATTTTCTCTTTTTGTAAAATTGTTTTCCTGCCACCCCTCTTTGCTGGTCCTTACTCAGAGTGACTTTCTGTGTGCTGACCAGTCTGGGGACAGAGACCAGTGAGCAGGCGCTAAGGCAGCAATGGCTGGCACAGCGAGAGGAGGCCTGGCCAGGTCTGAGCTGAGGTGTGGAGGAAGGAGCCAGCTCTCCTATCCGAGGCAAGACAAGGCAAGGCAGGGGAAGAAAGAGGATCCCTAAAGCAAATCTGAGGGGAGGACGGGCGATGGGGCCCAGGCTGGGCAACAGCAAATGCAGCCTCAGTTACCCAGATACAGCGACTCCAAGTACTTCGGGGCTTGAGGCAGAAAGTGTAAGATGGTGAACTTGGACACATTCATGGCAGGTACTGCCCAGAAACTTGAGAGCTGCCTATTGACGATGGTGATGAGTGGGATAATTTTACCTATTTCTCCCCAAGGCCAGGGGTCGGAATTTATAGTCCTCGCATTAAGACGTAGGCCAAGCAATGCTGGCCAATTCTTTTGTAGTTCTAAAACTACTGCTGTGACTGGCCTCTCTCTCTTTAAACTCAAGAGGATTATGTGTTAGAACTTCAAAGGAATTGGTTCTCTCCTTCAGGTAACAGTGTGTGTGTGTGTGTGTGTGTGTGTGTGTGTGTGTAGGTGGGGGGAGGGGGAGAGGGGGATCTACAGGCTTAGGACACCAGTGTCCTGTGAGTCTGGATCCAGCAGGTGCCGGGTTGCTGGGATAACAGGGGGCCCACAGGAAAGCCATCATGCTGTGATGCAAGCCATGTTAACCTGTGGACCAAGCTGGGGATCTGGTGAGATGGAGGAAAGGGACAGCAGAGGACCAGAGAAAGTGATTCTGGTCACGGTCATGGCATGCTCTGCGGGTCTGAAGGGTGACACACAAAAGCCCCATCCCTTTGCTCTCCCTCTGCATGCCATGGACACAGAACCCTTGGCAAACCTGAGTTCTACCCATGGGAACAGCAGAACTGTTGGCTCACTGAGCCACCCTGCAGCCCAATGAAGCACGACTCTGACCTCCTAAGAGGTCCCAGGGTCCCTGGGTTGGGCTGCACCATATCCACTAGGACAGTTGCACCCCACACTCACGATGGTCTACCTAAGCCAGGTACCAGACAGCTCTGGTCCTGACACATACTCTGAGGAACTCATATTATGTGGGAATTCTGCCTCCTTTGCCCACCACCAAAGCTAACAATTTATAAGCACCTAAATTTCCTATTTCCAAACTTTATGAGAAATCACCAGAATAAGTCCTGGCCAGGTTGCTCAGTTGGTAGGAGTGCCATCCTATACAGCAAAAGGCGGTGGGTTCGATTCCCAGTCAGGGCACATACCCAGGTTTCAGGTTCAATCCCCAGTCAGGGCGCGTGTGGGAGGCAACTGATCCATGTTTCTCTCTCACATCAATGTTTCTCTCTCTTTCTCCTTCTCCTTTCCTTTGTCTAAAATCAATAAAAGAAAAAGAAAATAATATGTAATAAAATAAAATAAAAAAATTAAAACCCACCAGAATCATAGTTTGCAAAACTAGCTCAGAACAGAGAGTTCCCGTGGCCCTTGGTCTACCAGACACAGATCACAGAGCAGCTTAGCTGAATATCAGTGTTCTATTTTCTAGAGAAGGGTGGTTCAGAAGTAGCTAGAAACTTTAAAAAACCAACCTGAAGAGCCTTACTAAAGGCAGTTCTGTAAGCCCCAACACAACCTGCCCTGAGGCACCTGAGGAGGCCCCGAGCCCTCCAGCTCACCCACACCCAGCACTGCTGACCTCCTCGGAATCTTACAAATACAGGTCATGAGCATATGTGTATTCAAGGACAGGTCTCTCCATAACAACACGGATGGATCTCACACGTGTGATGTGAGCGGAAGAAGGCAGACACCAAAGGGCACCTATTGTATAAGCCTATTGTAATCACATTCAAGCTGGTGAAAGTCATCTGCACTGATCGTCCTCAGGGCCGCGGTGACCGTCTGGGGCATGCCTGGGCCTGGGCTTGTTTCTAAAGGCCGCTCCTGTCCCTCTGAGCTCGGGTGCAGGTTACCCAGGGGTGCCCAGTTTGTGAGGATTCACTGAGCTGAGCATTCAGGATGCACATGCTTTCCCACGAGTGTAGTGACCTTCAGTGGAGAGTTTCCCATACTCTGAGCAGCAGTGGCTGACAGGGGAGGCTGTCCTGCTCTGTGGCCCTCTGTGTGTGTGTGTGTGTGTGTGTGTGTGTGTGTGTAGGTGGGGGGAGGAGGGGAGGGGGATCTACAGGCTTGGAGCCCGGGCCAGAGGGCCAGAGGCCTGGGCAGCACCGGAGAGGCGCGGGCCCTCGCTTACCTGCTGCAGCCGGTCCTCTTGCCTCCGGCTCTGACTCGGACGGTTGATGAAAGACCGCGTGGACACCTTGTAGTGATTCAGCAGGCAGACGATGACCACGACCATCACTGTGACCACCACAATGATGATGATGATCTGGGCGAACTCCAGCTCCGCTGCGAAGGAAGAGGAAGCCGTATGAGCCACGTGCCGCCCTCAGCTCCCCAGCCCCGTCTCCGCGAGGCCCTCTGTCAGGACAACCCCGGGCACCGGAGGCCTCTTGCATGAATCCCCTCCACATGAGAACCTCATGAGAGAGAAGCTGTTTTTCCCCAGGCCTGCCGCCCACGGCCACTGCCGGACTTTGACATTCTAATAACATTTCAATAAGAGGAGAGCCAGGCAGATCTGTGGTCTCGGCCTAACCTTGGTGCTCAGACAAATCTGCCTTGGCAATGTCATAATGAGAAGAACCAGGGGACAATGTATTCCCTTGGCCCCACGAGACCTCTGGAGGTGCGACGCTGTAACTGACACCATTTCACACGGGAAATGCAAAGACCAGTCCAGTGCGTATGCCACAGGCTGGTGGACACACGGGCTGCCCCTGCCCACTGGGCAGGCCAGCCCATAAGGGCCATCTGTTGGGTACGAAAAGCTCAGCGTCTCCATTACCTAAACCCTGTTCCTGCCAGACGACGCCCCCACCTGTAGGGGAGTTGAGAAAGTCTCTCAAAACCGAAGCCGTTCCTCCCAGTGTAATCTCTCTGAGAAAGTTAAACCCATCTTCATGGCTGAGTTTCCCAAAGCACATCCCACGCAGGACCCACATGGTACACACAGAAGAGAAAACCTATGTTGATACGCACTCCCACCTCCTTTCCTCAAGGCCGCTGCCTTTGGAAGTAATTTATATAGAAGCTACATCACTGTGCTGAACTCGGCGGGGACCACACTTTATGAGCACTCAGGTCACCATGGGCCCTGACACTGTCAGGAAAGAGATGGTCTAAATGCCACTAACACATGCTTCACACACAAGTGTGGTGCCTCGGAGCTGCTTCTGGAAGAACAGCACGGCGAGCTGTCAGTTAGAGGGAGGTGGCTCAAGCCCTTCCGTTCGCAGGGAGGAGCAGAGGCTCAGGGCCCAAGGGCAGCTGCAGAACCCAGACTTTCTGCTTCCCGGCTTCCAACTCGTGGTCTGCTGAGTGTTGGCTACCTGTTTTCCTGAGTCTCCGCATGCTCAAGTGATTGTCTGCACAGGGGCGAGAGGCTCAGGAGGACGGGGAGGAACACAGTGCCCGACTTGTGCTGTGAGGTGGGGAGGCACGGGGTATAATGAAGGGCAAGAGACAGAGGGGAGAGCTCTCTCAACTATGCTACTGCGTCACACTTGCAACACATACAGGCATGCACACTCATACACACATATACATACGTGCACAGAGATACACATGCATGCATGCACACTTGCACACAAAAGCACACGTGTGGACATACACGCATGGGCACAATGCATTCATGCACACAAGCATACAAATACACACCTGTATGGGTTACACATACATACAAGGCATGCGCACATAGGTACACGTGTGCACAATGCACACCCTCTTGCTGCAGCAGGACTTAGGCCACTGGCCAATCAGGAAGCATGATGGGCTCACACTTGGGATGACGCAAAAGGGGACTGTGTAGCACCTCCCCCCTAGTATTTGCAGCTGTGTGCCTCCACTATCCGCACCCTGAAAATGGGGATAGATGGAGGGTCTTCCTGAATTCCACCGTGCCCTACCCTGTAGCAGTGTCCTCCACTCCTGTCCTTGGTCCCCACATACCTGAGGGCATGGAGCTTTACATAGCGCCCTCTGGACTGGGCCGGGCTGCACTTGACACTGGGCCTGATTGGCCGTTGGTTCAGAGGTGCGCCTTAGAGAGTGGAGAGCTGAGTGTGAGGGAACGGAACTGCTGAGCTCCAGGTGGGGAGCAATTAAGGCCCGGTAGGTTTTCTGGGTACACCACTAGCTGGCAGCAAAAGTGCAGATCCCAGGGGGCATGGCTGACTGAGGAGGTTCGGGCAGCAATGCCCTGAGTGGCTCTAGAGGCTGGCAGTCAGCAAGACCCAAGCTCCCCACCTCCCCTTCCTCGTGTCACCGCTCTGCACACCGTGAGGTCCAATGGCTGATTTGGCAAGGCCTCTGGAGGCCCTGGGTGCCCAGTCCATCTCTGAGGGCTTCAGCATCTACTTCCTGTGGGGAATTTATGTGCACCCAACCCCCTCCCAGGGACTATCAGAAGCCTTCATGCTAGGAGCCTCCTGGAAAAGACCAAAATTCCTCTCCATCAGAGGAAATAGTCTAGGAACATTCAGATATAAATGTGACCTCATTTATCCTCACAGGCTGTGGGGTGTGTGACATGCGTGTGGACCCAGAAATACTGCCTTTGCACAGAACATTTCCATGTCCAGGACACCCCGTGTCTTTTGGTGCCCATGTCACATGATGCCTGTGTGGCCATGCGATGGATCCCTTTCTTGGCCACTTGTTGACTGTCTGCCTTTCACAGGAAACTACGATTGGAAACCTACGTCTATTTATCTTGTGCTTTTGGTGCCAGGCATGGGTGGTGCCTGTCAGGTGGTTAAGTGACTTCATCACTAAGAGGGGAATCCATGAATGAGTCTGGAGCACCCATGATGAGGCCAAGACCTCTCTTCTGGGACACATGGCTCCACCTGTGCAGGTGTGCCCCTGCGAGGATGCTACTGCTGACAGGACCGAGGCCTGCATTGGCCAGCGAACACAGGAGTGCGACTCGGCAGCTGTGAGGATATGTGCAGAGGGGTGAGCTGCCAACCCAAGGACTATCACCCCAGTGAGAGGCAGTCACTTGACCCAAGCAGGGGGTTGATTCTGCTTGGGTCAAAGGTGGCCAAGGTAGCATGAAGACAACCCAGCCCTGGCCGGGTGGCTCAGCTGGTTGGAGCATTGTCTCTTGCATCAAAAGGTTGCAGGTTCAATTCCCTGTCCAGGCATATACTTAGGTTGTGGGTTAGATCCCTGGTTGGATTGTGTGCAGGGAGGCAATGGATTAAGGTCTCACACACTCTCTCTCCCCCTTCCTCTCTATGAAATCAATTAAAAAATAACACATCCTCAGGTAAGGATTTAAAAAAAAAAAAGATTGAACCCAAAATAATGCGTTGTTTTACTAATCTATATTTTTATTTTGTAGATGAACAGCAGTATGTTCATAAATTGCCTCTCAGGTTAAATCCTGCCCTGAAATTGACAAGTGTTTTTGTTTCCCAAGAAAACGTCATTGCTTTACAGCCATGGGAAGAGGGGACAGTGAGGGATCTCACACAAAGTCTTCCTGGGCTCACCCTCCACTTGCAGAGCGTCTGCCTAGGTCACCTTTCCCTGAATATGGAAAGCTATGCAGACACCCATTCATAGCAGAGTAACCCAATTACATTTTCATAATTCTATGGACATATTTGGGCATATTTGTTGTGTTCCATTTGAAAAGGATTTTTATTATAAAAATGACCTTTAAAATTTAAGCGATATAGAATGAAATAGTGTACAATGTAAAAGTTCCCCTTTATGGGCCATGCTGTCCTGGGGGTGGGGGGCACAGTTCACCCATTGTGTGTATTTGTACATGTGCCGATTGAATAAGGGCTTTCTTCTTATTAATGAATGGAATCATTGTTCAAACATTGTTCTAGTTTTTTCACTTACTATGTCACAGACATCTTAAACAAGAATATATAGAGACCAACCTCAGTCTTTATGGAGGTTATTCTTCCAGAATATAAATATACTAGAACTTATATTTTTCCACTTGATAGATGGTTAGGTAGTTTCTTCTTCTTTTTTTTTCTTCTATTATGACCCAAAGATTGTGTATACATATATAGCTGTGTGGGTATCAATGTGTGTGTTGATTTGTAAGGTATCCCTACAGGAAAGATTCCTAAAATTGAAATTTCTGGGTCAAGGATATTCCTTTTAAATGCTGATGGCTACTGTGACCCCGCTTTATAAAAAGGCTCTTGCCAAGAACAGGGCCTGCTCCTCACATCTTCATTAATACTGAACACTCACCCTTTTCATTTGTACAAATCTGATGGGCAAAAATACATATCTTGTTTTATTTGAATTTCCCAATTTCTGGTAATTTTAGATCTTTCCTTATGGTTATTGGTAATTTCTATTTTTCTTCTTCATAATCACATTAGCTTATTTGTAGTTTTCTCATTTATTTCTTCTCATTTATTTGTAAGCATTCTTTACGAATTATGGCTATAAATCTTTGTCTGTTACATGTAGTGCAAATATCTTCTCCTAGTCTTCACTTCTTTAAACTTTGCTATGAGTTTCTCTATAGGAAATATAAATTATTATGTCATCAACTGCTTTCTCTTTTTTCAGTCAATGAAAACAGACTTTTTTCTTGAACACTAACAACTGGAAATAACTTCTTTGGGGCTACAAATACTCCCCTCAGAGGATTCTCAAAGTGAGAATTCGTGCTAACAGAGAGAGGGTTCTAGGAAACAGTATGATGGCTTCTGGACCCCAGAGCCCTGTGCTACCAATACCCTCTCCCTTCAAGACCTTACTCAAGATCACAAGAGGAATACAAGCAACCCCCATGCCTGTCCTCCCACACCCTCTTTCACTCCAAACAGGAAGATTCTGCTGAAAAATGCATCACCAACAGCAAATTAAGTAGGATATCCGCAGCCTGGAAGGCAGATGGGAAGGGCAGATGGGGAAGGAGGCTATAGACCCACAAACCCAGCTGCCCTCCTCCCCTCTGTCTATACATTTTGTGATAACTGTGATAGGCGATCCTTGTCTCTCCTTTCGCCATTCCTGAATCCTCCCTCCAAGTGCCCCACCCATTCATGGAGACTGCTCAGAGGCAGTCTGGACCCTAAAGTGTTTTGCAGCGCCTGACACGACTCTGTTGCCAAAAGCCCAATTTTACATCTTCTCAAGAAAATAACTTTCATAGAATGAGTAAAAGAAATTTTATATGTAAAGAAACCCTCGACAACCCTGCATTCCCACTCTGACTGTCTCAGATGAAATGTAGCACACCTGTTCTTCAAAGTCTCTAGTTTCAAGATTTCTGTGTTCCTCAACCACAGACCTGTTCA